GTTGCACAAGATTCTCAGAACGATAAGTTTGTCCCAAGTTCTTTAAAGCTTGAATAGCGTCATTTGCCGTGGGGAATGACACTCCGGCTGCATGCGATCTTCGTGCAGAGGAACTATATACGTTTGTGCTTGCCTATATCATTTGTAATTGCAAATATCAATTTGAAGATGTTGGCATAAGATGAAAATGTTTCATCAACCGAACTGCGATCGTCACCTCTGCAGCGCGGACTTCGTTGAGTTCTTTCTCACGTTCTGTCAGTGGTGCGTCTGCTTTTTGATGCTGGAGATGTTTTCGGTATCCCTCAAGAGTGAATTCTTCCTAGAAGAGAGATGCAAAAAGTAGACACCCCACAGAAGACGAGAAACCATTATTTTTTAATCCGCTATCAACTCTGACTTGAAAATGTTCATTCACTAATAGACTCACAGTTGTTGAACCATACATAGAATCTACAAAACGATAATCTCCGAGTTCTTTCGTTAACGTGGCCCGAGTGGAAGCATAAAGCATCTTGTCCCTGACCTTGAATTCATTCGTACTTAATAACTTTTGCGAAACTTGCTGACTAGCATAATTAGAGATTCACGCAGCGTTACCTTGGCATTGTCTGGAACATATGCGAGAAACAACCACTCATAATCGCCAGCTGACGACTTGGTGTCCAAACGGTAAATAATATAAGCTGGCTTTTTTTCCTCCAGAAAGTCTTGGATTTTAGAAAAATCTATACATACTAGTTAGCAATGCACAGAATTTCAAGTATCGATTTTGCCCATTTCACAAATATTTACCAGTCTCCCAGGAACCTGACACTTCAGCCGTCCCATCGGGTATGAGTGACTCTATTCCAACGCGCACAGTGTAGTCAAGTAAGCGTTCAAATCGTCTAACTTCACAAAGTAATTAGACGACAGTAACACTTAAAATCACTTACCAGAAACTATGGAAACGCGTATTACTCGCAAATTGCCTCCGGCTACTGCGGTGACAAATAGATCTGCCAACTCTTGTGATGCTGAATGGTATAAAAAGTATCAGCAAGAGTTCGCAATTGGAGTGTAGATATTTAATGGACATACTTCTAATGCCGGACTGGTGAGACATCTTTTAAGAATCTGTGTGTGAAAAGCGGGAACTATGCCGATCTCCATCAAAATATTTTGGACAGTGTCGTACAGATCTTGATGTTTGAGATTTCTTCTCGTTCTGCATTCACAAGAAACTATGAGTACTACTGATCTTCCTCCGCTAAGAATCGGTAATGTAACCAGTAATGCGTACGCGATGTAAATGTAAAAATGAAAAATTCCAAAATTTACTAAATGATATATATTCTATATATGATTACAAATTTAGCTACTTTTAACATTCGATTTGACGGACAAAGTGGATTACTGTCAAATCAAATTAAGGAACAATATGTTCAGTCTCCCATAGGTACTAACCAGGAAACGCCATGGCGTATTAGACGTCCCAAGGTTGCTGATACCATCACATTTCACAAAGTTGACGTTGTTGGATTTCAAGTATGTGCATGGAAAGAATGATCAAAGTAACAAATCATTGGCAACACGAATCGATTTACGAAAGAGTTGAATAACTCACTTTGGCCTAATCAGGAAGCATTGTATAATCAAGTTCAAGATTTTGAATATTTGTTCGGATCCAATTGGGGTTGGACGGGTGTAGGACGCGATGATGGAAAGAAGAAGGGCGAGTTTGTTCCGATATTTTACAACAAGTAAGATCGGTTTGTGTTTGCATTGAGGCGATTGTATCCTAACGTGGCATCATGTACTGTATTTATGAACAGAAACCGACTGCAACTTCTAGAATCAACGAGTTGGTGGTTATCAGAGGTTTGTACGTTTGTATGGTAGTATTTCGACCATGGCTACTGCTTCCTGAACGCGTCTTTTTGTGATTTCGTTCTGTAGACACCTGATGTTCCGGGTAGCATAGGATGGGATGCAGGCTTACCACGTAAGTTACCATTATAGGATATATATCTTCATATTGTTATTTCTCACTTGTATGTTTGTGTTTTTTGCATCATGTTCACCATTTAGGCGTTGTAACCCAAGCAAAGTAAGTTTAATTACGACAGTCTTAGCAGCTATAACTTCTTTATACTAATGAAAGTGTGAAATTAATCAGGTTTCTCGATCGTCTCACAAACAAAACCTTCCATCATATTAATACTCACTTTGATGATCGGGGAGAAAAGGCTCGTGATGAAAGTGCTCGCCTTATCTTAAACCGAACACAAGAGCTTAACCTAACAACTCATGAAGCGATAATACTTACCGGTGACTTTAACGTGGAAGAAGATTCGAGCTGCTATAAAACTCTTGTTGGTAAACAAAACTCTTCTGACCATGAAAAGGATAAATTTATTTTCTCCGATACACGTTATGATTTATCCCATGACGGTACCAAATCGTTTGGGCATCAGTATACGTTTACCGGATTCAGTAGTTCTGAGCCATTAAAACGGATAGATTTTGTGATGATAGACTCAACGTCTGTAGGCAAATCTCGTGTGAGAACGGTCAATCATGGCGTTATTCCAAATAGATTTGATGATGGGATGTACATTAGCGACCATCGGGCGGTCGTTGCTGATTTGAAGTTTGCTTAATTAGAGCAATAATGTTAGAAAATTGTTTAATTATTTTGATGTACAAGACCTGTAACAGTAATAGAGGTAACACTACGCATTCCTTCTGTTCAAGATCTTAAAGTTGTTAATGCTAATGAACTGCAAAGGATTGAATTTCGGATACAGAGAAAACACACACATTATTTATTAGCAACATAAATGAATAGGAT